GACACCTGCATCCAATGCTTTTGTGACCTGATCGTAAAAGGCAATCAGGTTGGTCTGACATGACCTGCCCCTCATGAAACCATGCTGGTTGCCTGGGTCCTCCCTCCTCCTTTTTTTAAAGATGGGGACCACATTGACTATCTTCCAATCATCTGGCACCTGGCCCGAGCACCACGAGCACTCGTAAAGCCATGCCAAGGGCCCTGCAATAACCCCTGCTAGCTCCCTCAACACTCTGGGGTGGAGAGCATCTGGACCTGCTGATTTGAACACGTCCAGCCCCTCCAGAAGCACTCTAACCCGGTCCTCCTCAACCTTAGGTCTTTAGGCGTCCCTCTCGAGTCCGTCTTGAAACACGGTGGGGGAGTCCCAGTCCCTGCACAAGAAAACGGAGGTGAAGAATTTGTTAAAGAGGTCTGCTTTCTCCTCTGGTACAACCACCAGATTGCCCAGCGTATCTTGCAGGGGCCCCACGTTTCCCGGTGCCACCTTCATCCTCCCTATATATTTGAAAAAGGACTTTTTATTGTCTTTGATCTTGGACGCTAGTCCTAGCTCTATCTCGCCTTAGCTTTCCTAACAGCCCCCCTACAGGCCTGAGCAGTGGAGGTATACTCTTCTTTGGAGATAGCCCCCCCCATTCCACCGGGTGTATGCCGCCTTTTTGGCAACCAGGCATTCCCGGACATCCTTGGTGACCCAGGGAGGCTTTTGGGCACTCTTGCTTCTTGTCCTTAGACCAACACGGCTACAACCTACACCCCTGTAGATGTGGTTTATGTAATTCAGTATAGGGCAAAATAAACATTTTCTAAACCATTTCTAAGCCATTTATGTCTCTCATAAATTCATACTCATTTTGTGCCATAGTCATCCTGGTTTTATCCCTACATGTTTGTGCTATCTCTTTAAACTCATCTTTATTTGTGCTACTGTAGCCATTCTTAGTATAATTTCTTTTGGATTTTCAGGTCATTAACAAGTTCATGATGCAGCCCTAATGGGTTTTTTACTATGCTTCCTATCTTTTTTTTCTCACAACTTCCACTCCTAATAGTGACCTTTATAGAGGATAAAATTGTTAGAATCACAGAATAGTAGTGTTGGAAGGGACTGGAGGACTTCATCTAGTCCAAACCCTGCTCAAGGCAGGATTGTACCTGACAATCCCAGTTCCAGTCAAGCATGGTAAGTCTAACATATTCTAACTCTTCGGTTAGGAGGTTAGTCACTCAAATACTACTATGAGAAATGCTATAATTTGCCACAGATAAATTTTCTGTTTTTCCATATTTGAAACCCTTCTTTCTCATTCTCCTGGCCTCCAAATGATTGGAGGCAAATTAACTAAAGCCAGTGACTAAAAATAATGTAATTCATGGTTTTGGGGTCTTAAAATGTTTTTTTAGTTTTATTTCTATAGGAAAATTTATACCTAATTTTAAAAAAAAGCATGAATAATCTACCTTCTCCTCCCACCCTACCCTCAAGAAAAAAGAAATAGTGTCTTACATTCAGTGACTTTGTTACCTTCAGAATAAGCTGTTTGTGTCTCCTAAGGTCAAGTTCATGGTAGCACTGTATAATTTTTGTTCAGTTTCGGTTTTCATGCATGAATGAAATGCATCACTCGTAACTTGTTCAAATATTTGATTTCCTCTAGTAGTAGCCTACGTGCTTATGTACAACCTGCAGTGAAGTCATATTTTTTCAGCGGGAAATTGTCAGAGCCTTCCTGATGCCTTCTGTTCTAGTTTACTGTTATGCTAAGGTTTTTTGTCACACCAACACGTTGTATGACTGGTCATCAAATCCAGTCGCCTGCTATCTCAGGCAACAGTGTGATTTGATCCCTTTTGTAAACCAATCTCCTCATGGTGTTTTGTTAATACAATTTTTCCATCTTTGGGTGTCCTATGTAGAATATCCTACAAAAATGACAGCAAATGCTAATGCATGAACTGTGTGGCAAATGAGTGATATGGGTAGCTTTGTTCAGGGTGAACCACACAGCATATAGCTATGGGACAGTGGGTTCAAATAATGTTTGACCTCTGGAAATCTGGTTTCATATTGACCTTGGGTCCCAGGTGAAATAGATGTGTTGTAGCAATGCAGTCAAAGATCATTTGTCCTCCCAGTAAAACCATAATGTAAGTTAGCTTGTCTGTATACACGGAGTAAGTTGTTTGGGGTCTTTCTTTCAATCTAGACAGATATATCTCAGCATTGCACTGATGGCCTTTTTTTAACATTATTTTTATATAAAACCTAGATTTCCAATAGAAGTATAAAGTAAAACTGTATCAAAAGGCGACAAACATTTTGGACCACGAGGCCACATCCAAATGAGTGTGGCCATGCAGTAAGTACCTCACATTCAGCTGTTCTCCATGCTTCAAGGGAGCATCACTGAGGGGGAGCAGCAGTTTGACAGGGGTCAAAAAAATCCACACAGAAATAGCAGAGTGGCACATGCAGGGGCAGCGTGCACTGCTCAGAACAGGTGCCTGGCTGGCCAGAGCCACGCTCCAGCTGCCAGCTGAGTCACAGGATGACCACTGCTACAGCCCCAGGAGACCCCCAGGACCCAGGTATGGCTGCTGGGGCCAGCCCAGGTGCTGGCCCAGCATCCCCTACTCCACCCAGGGTAACCTGCTGCATGCCAGAGGGCGCATGGCACAGGCGTTTCCTGGGGACAACTAGTGGCAGCACAAGGTATCCTGCTGCTAGTTGTCCCTAGGGAACCAAACATCCACGCTTATGTGGACGCAGCCTGACTGTCTGGAATGATCTAACTGGGGATGGTCCTGCTTTGAGCAGGGTTTTGGACTAGATGACCTCCCTTCCAACCCTAATTTTCTATGATTCTAGGTTTAGACTAATAGTTGCATTGTGTGCAATAGAGGTGTGCCACTCTGTTGATTCTGTTAAAATAAGAGGCTTTCCTTGACTCTGCTACAGTGCTGCTGAAGCAATGCCGATCTTCAGGCTTTTCAACTGAAAACTGAACAATGCCTTGCCAAGCTACTTTTGTGGTCTCACATCTGTTATTGCCACAAATTGATATTTTCACA